AAAATGTATATAAAAGTGAAAAAGAGAGAGAGAAAGAGAGTACATGAGAATGAGGGAAAAAAAGAAAGAAAGAGATAGGCGGGAATAAATTTTAGAGTGGGGGTAATAAATGGGCGGAGCTTAAACGAAAGCTTTTGCGGAAAAGTGCGATGATGACGATGATGAGGACGACGACGACGACGACGACTTGGACGATTACGACGAGTACGAATATTACGACCATCCGAATGGGGATCGGACAAGTCGTACCGCGCCGCTTTTAAACCTTTCAATTCTTTCTTTTTTTTTTTTTTTGTTTTTTTTTTTGTTGTTCGTTTTTTTTTCGTTTTTCGTTATAAACCTTTTTTCTTTTTGTTTAATATTAATTTGTGCCTGAATCGGTACACACACACACACGAATCAAGGGGTACCAACCGACCGACCGACCGACCGACACCGTCGCGCGCTGTTGTTATTTTTTAAATTTTTGTTCTTTTTTGTTAAATAATAATAATAATATTTATGACAATGTAATGATAGTGAATTATCAAAAGTAAGGAAAAAAGTGGTTTTGGTGTTGGTGTGATAATAATAATAATAATAATAATGTCGGTTGCAATGCCTTTGGACTTTACGGTAAGAACGAGAAGTTCGCCATCTTTTAATTTAGAAGAACGTATGAAACCTGGTTCGAGATTTGGACTTTTCCAATTATTATCGGACACGTCGGAATCAAACAGCGCATTTCGATTGGTTACACCTAAAAGAAAATCACAAGGTATTATTATTATTATTATTTAAAATTTTACCCATATAATAAATCCATTTGAAAAAAAATTAAAAAAAAAAAAAAGAAAATTTCGTTCGTTTTTTCTCGTTTTCCTCTGTCGGCCATTTTTTTTTTTACCTTCCGACGGGATTTTTATTCCGTTTCAAACGTAGATTCGAAGCTTAAAAACAATTTTTTTATTTTTCGGGGAGTTGTTCTCTTTCCTCTCTCTTTCTCTCTCTCTCTCTCTCTTTCTCTCCCTCCCCCCGCAAAAAATAAATAAATTAAAATAATTGTTTTTTGTAAAATAAAAATAAAAATTTTTTATTTTACTACTCAGAAATTCTTATCAGAAACGAGACGATATCACTTATATTTTATTCTCCCCGCTCCTCCCCCCAAAAAAAAGAGAAAAATTTTCACGGAAAATTTAATTATTTATTTATTTATTTTACTTCCTTTAAGGTCGAGTTATAAAAATGGTTGTGAAAATTCAACATGAAAAAAAAAAAAAAAATTTTTTTTTTTTTTTAAATTTTCTCCAGATTTTTTTTTTTTTTTTCCAGAGAAATTTTTATTTTTACGACGTGGAAATTTTTAAACTTTTTTTTTTTTTTATTAAAAATTTTACCAACATGTAAAAAAAAAAAAAAAAAATTTTTTTTCTCTTTTTTTTTGGGGTTTGAACCTTCAAAGAAAAGTTTTGAATTTTTTTTTTTTTATGGTAAAAAAAATTAGCATAACATTAAAAAAAGGAAAAACGGCGGGATTTGCTACTCGGGGGTAAAATAGTCAGAGAAAAAGAATAAGAGAGAGAGAGAGAGAGAGAGAGAGAGAGAGAGAGAGAGAGAGAGAATGAATAGGAGGTTTTATATAAAAAAAAAAAAAAGATTCCAGTGTTGGGGGCAACGGGAACAACCACATGTCCGTTCACATCCACCGCCCCGGAAAATGTGACAGCCCATAAAATATAGAAATCGGAGTTTTTACACGGTGGTTTCATGTTACATTTAGCACCTTCATTACTGCCCCCCCTCCCTCCCTCGACTCCTTCCACCCTTCCCACCCACATGTGTGTCTGTTTTTCATATTTAAAACATTCGCTCCGATTTATTATTTCGACGTAATTTTCATATTTATATACAACGCAAAACATTAATCATCATTATTATCAATTTTCATCTATATCATCATCATTATCATCATCATCATCGTTAATTAAACGAATAAAAAAAAAAAAATTTTTTTTCTTTTTTGTTTTTCGATAAATTTTATTAAAATAAAAAAAAATTTAATTAATAAAATTTAATATCAATAATAATAATAAAAATCGACAAAATGGCGGCCGGGCCATTTCAATCAATGTTAATAAAGAAAAAACTCTATTAATTTTTTTTCGCGTTTACGATAGTTTTTATTATTATTATTATTATCAGGATTGTACGAAGGTACAAGAGAGAGAGAGAGATAAATAAGGAGAGAAATAAATAAATCTAAGTTTAATAATAAATAAATAATAAAAAAAACGAATGATTATTAAAAATAATTTTTTCCCGGAATAAAAAGGGATAAAAGTTACAAAAAAAAAAATTATTTATTAATAATTTTGATAAAAGTTATTATTATTATTATTATCGTAACTGATCGGATTATCAGTAAAAATCAATCTAATAACAAATCGGATTAAAAAACTAAAACTAAAACTAAACGTATTTATTACATAAGAAAAAGAAAGAGAGAGAGAGAGATTTCGATCGTAAATGGCAGGTTCAGGATTTAAACCGATTACAAAAAATATCTTTTTTTTGCAATTGATAAGAGAGAGAGAGAGAGAGAGAGAGAGATAAATTCATTTTATTTATTTATTTATTATTTTCGGGCCCTTTTTAACTAAATAATCCAAAAAAAAAAAAAAAATGATTGCAAAACATTAATAATAATAATAAAGATCTTTGAGTTTATTATAAGAAATCAAAAATTATGATATATATCCACAGCCTTCTTATCAATCTATATCTGACCTTCCCTTTCCCTCCCACTCTTTAATTAAAAAAAATGAGAGAGAGAGAGAGAAAATAATTTTTTAATTATGGAGTCCTTAATGATCCCCCGTTTGTTAATTTTTCTTTTCTGTTATCATTATCATTATTTTTTTTTTTTTTTGTTAAATTTCGCTCTTATCATTTTATTCCTATGAATCGAATCCTGGAATTTGTTAAATTATTAATTAATTATTATTATTATTATTATATTAGGTTTGGAATCACAATCGAATAATCCGGAACAAAATTCGATTGTTCAACCGACCGGATTGGGATTTTCCAATTATACAAACAGATTTTGGAACTCTTCAAATTCGACAACACCGATCGAAAACGAACCTAAAAATTTTAAATGTCAAAATAATAAAAATAATAATAATAATATTAATAATAATAATAATAATGGTGAGTTTTCATTTTTGATTTTTTTTTGAATTTTTTTCTCTCCCTCCCCCGTACGCGTTCGTATTTAGAAGTAAGTAAATTTAAAAAAAAAAAAAAAAAAAAAAAAATTAAATTAAATTAAATAAGAAGGAGGAGCGGATTCAACGAGGTGTTGTAAAGAAATCCGGTTTTGATAATATTTTTCATTAAGATGTTTGACTGGCTTCAAAAGCGCACCATTTTCATTTTATTAAGCCATCTAATTAAAATGCTGGTCGATTCTCAGGGCATTGGTTTAATCCCAGGATTAAAATTGATCACGCCATTTTCTTTTTTTTCATTTCATTTCATTCCATTTTTTCTTATTTTATTTAATAAAAAAATTATAAAACAATAATAATGATAATGAAACCCTATTATTATTATTATTATATATGTGTATATGTTAGCCATCGATATTTTTTTTTCACATCATTAAACCGCATTTAATCATAAAAAAAAAAAAAAAATGAAGAAGATTTTTCTATCAAAATGTCGGGGGGGGAAGGGGGGTGAGGGGGCGGGAAATTAATTATATCAAATAAAAATAAATAAATTTTTATAAAATTTTTATAAATAAAAAAAGTTCTTTTTCTTTTCTTTTTTTTTTTTTTGTTATAATTAAACAACAACAAGAAAACATTAATCGTTTTTCCCCCTTCTCCCTCCCCCCGTATTTTTTATATAAAATGTCCTTTTTTTTTTTTTTAAATAAAGCGATCGATGAAACGTTTAAAACCGTTAAAAATAAGAAAAAAATTTTTTTTTTATGGGAGAAAAAATAATAATAATAATAAATAATTTGCAAAAGGGGGTTATTTTAGGTCGATTATAATTATTGTTTAAGGGTTAGAACCAATGCAATAAGAGAGAGAGAGGGGGAGGAGGATATTGTTGGAAATGGAAATATGTCAGAATATCAATTTGTCTTTTGAATTTTACACGCACTCACACACACACACACACACACACACACACACACATTTCAATTCCCCATATTCCAGCCCTTCGAATTATCATCATCATCATCATCATCCCTTCTTTTCCTTTCGAAGATTGTTTTCGTGTTTTGATCTCTCTGTTGTCTCTCAGTTGAACTCTGTTCACTTGTTTTTCAAATTATTTTTGTTGTTAACCCCTAAAAAAAAAAAAAAAAAAAGGAAATAAATTACAAAAGATAAATAGATCATTAGCATTTATTGAAACTTTTTCAAAACGATTTGTTTATCGTGTGACATACGTCACTTACTACTACTGCCACTACCACTTCCTGCTACTTCCGTTTCCTGCCACTACGTTAAACAAATTAATTTCTTAGCGAGTTTTCTTACACTTTTTTTTATATAACCAATTCGGAGAGAAAAAAATTATTTATTAAAAAAAAATTTTTTTTTTTGTGATAAAATAATAGTAATAATAATAATAATAGTGTTTCATTATTATTTTTCTTTCTTACTTTTCCCCGTTCTTATAAATTAGAGTCATTTAGTTTTTAATATTATAGTCATTTTTATTTAGTAAAAATTTGTTAAATTAATTAGAGAGCATGAGAAATTTATTCTCAGGAGGGTTTAAACGTCCAATGTAGAAAATCAAAAAAATTCTCAATGGGTCCGAACGGACTATTAAACGAAATTCATTTAATGCAAAAAAAAAAAAAAAAAAAGGAAAAAAAAAAAAAGAAAAACCAAATGTAATGAATGTTGAACCCTCGACGCCCTTCCTATTATCGCTTTAATTCAACTTCCACTGCTTGCTTGCTTGCTTGCTTGCTGCCCTAAGAGCAGATGTCACGCTTTGTCGATTATGAATTATTCAGCGAAGCGAGTCATTCCAGAAGACCCTTTTTCTGCTTCCACACTTGCTTCCTTCCTTCCTATAAGGGACTCCTACTATTACCAAAGAGATGATGATGTTTTATTTTCCTCGTGCCCGTTTCCTTTTTTTTTTTTACATATATATTGAAAAATTTAACACTTTGAATAAAAAAAAATTTTTTTTTTTTACTCATTTTCACGTGGTTGTAGACAAAAAGAGGGAATAAAAATTGTTTTCTTAAATTAATAAATTAATTTTTTTTTTTTTTAGACACGATTAAATTTGGGATCAACAGATTAATGAATGCAAGTTCACCGGAAACTATCGAACAACCAACGGATGATGATTGTCGTAATAATAATAATAATAATAATAATGTTATCGATCGGGATTCGATCAATGTAAAATGTGATGATATACGTTCATCGAAGATACGAGAAAAAGCGATGAAAACGAAGAAGGAGAAAATCGTTTGACGTGGTCATCGATAGATGGTAAATCGAGATCATCGTCACCAGATTTGGAAGTAAACAGTCCGGCACATTCGTCCGAACCGGAAATAAACGTCGATGCTAACAGTACATTGAGTACCGGATCTCCAAATCCGTGTCCTCCGACAAGATCTGTATCTCCGACATCTCCGTCACCGTGGCTTTCTTCTCCCGGTGGTGATTCTCCAAAGAAACCCGGTAAAAATTCAGAAACGTTTTCGGTTAGTGCATTGTTAAAACCGGATGCTCCAAAAGTTTTACCACCGAGAACAATTTGCGAATCCGTTTCGGTGGCCCGATCACTACTTTATCCGGGTTTGAGTGGTGTACCATTTGCGGATTTGTTCGTGATGAAAGGAAATCAAAATGGGGAAACGACTTCTTCGTCTTTTCCGTTACCGACGAGGCAAAACGATTTCGGTTTTAATTCTAGTTTACGTAGTTCTTCGAACAAAGATTCCGAAGAGCTTGACAATAACAGAAACTTTTTAGCAAATCCAAGTGCTTTATATTTAAGTTTAGGAGCGATGCAAGCCGCGGCTGCCATCGCCCACCAATCACATTCGAATACTTTACCACCTTTTAATACGACACCTCACACTTCCATACCGGAAGAATTGTTTCGCATAAAACACCATTTTATGAATCCGAATTTTCCAATGGATTCACCGCATCATCACCATCACCATCATCATCATCACGTATTTCGACCCGGCGGTGGACTCATGCCTTTAGGTGATGTTTTCTCATGCGTTAAATGTGAAAAAATGTTTTCGACACCTCACGGATTGGAAGTACACGCACGAAGGTCACACAATGGGAAAAGACCTTTTGCATGCGAACTTTGTAACAAAACGTTCGGACACGAAATAAGTTTAAGTCAGCACAGGTGAGATATTAAATCTTTAAATCCGCTCTCATTATTCACAAAATAATTATTTATTAAAAAATTTTCTTTTTTTTTTGTTTTTGTTTTCAGAGCAGTTCACAACGTGGAAAAAATATTTGAATGTAAACAATGTGGAAAATCGTTTAAAAGGTCATCGACGTTATCAACCCATTTACTTATACATTCGGACACGAGGCCATATCCGTGTCACTATTGCGGTAAAAGATTTCATCAAAAATCCGACATGAAAAAACACACGTACATACACACGGGTGAGTTGTTATTATTATTATTATTATCATCACACCGTATTTGATAAAAATTAAAATCACGTGAAATTTTTTTTTTTTTTTTAAATCCGCCATTTTGAATAAATTTTTTTTTTTTTCGTTTCTTTTCAACGAATAAAATCAAATCAAACGTTTAAAAGATGAACTTTTCCAACAAAAAAAAAAAAAAAAGAAAAACGGGTAGAAAAGTTTTAAAAATAAATTCAAAGAATAAATAATAATAATAATAAGAGCCGAACTGACGGGAAAATAAATTTTAAAAAGAGAAAGAAAGAGAGAGAGTGGGAGAGAGAGGAAGGGAAATGAAAAGAATAATACGATTCTTACGTTGGTAAAAAAAATTTAACCTGGAAAAACCTTTTCTTAAACTTTTTCTTTTTTTTTTTGGAATTTTTATTCCTGGAAAAACTATTTTCCAAAATTTAATTTTAAACTTTGTCATTTTTAAATAATATTCTTTCTTCTTTTGTAAAAAAAAAAAAAAAATTTTCCTTTTTTTTCCTTTTTTAATAAATATGTGAACGGTTTTTGTTCTTTTTTGTTCTCTTTTGTTCTTTTTTTTTTTTTTTTTTTTTTTTTTTTTTGGTTAAAGAATTTTAAATGAATAAAAATAAAAAATATTATCTACGGTTAAAGTCTTTTAAGGTTTAAAAAAGTGAAACTGAAAAATGTTTTAAATAAAAAAAAAATTTCTCTTCTCCCGGAAAAGATATAAGAAGAAAAGGTTTTTAAATTTTAATTATTCAAAGAATGAAAAAAAGGAGAAAAAAAAAAAAATAAACCCTTAACATTCTAGAAAGTTCGCTTATGAAGTATGTTTTTATGTGGTTGAGCGGGGGGAAAGAAGGGAAGGGAGTAGAAAAACATTGAGAAAATGGATTAAGGGAAGAAGTCGGGATAGGTGGCGAGGTAGAGGAGGAAAATGAGGAGAACGTTTCGCTTTAAAACAATTTACGATTATTGAGATAATCCAGAGATTGGAGAAAGTTGCTTTACTGTAAATGGAACATCATTTTAAGAATCTCAAATCTCCAGAAACTTTCTCCAGATGTGTGTGTGTCTGTGCATTGCTTTCTTCCTTCCTTTCTTTTTTTCATTTTCTTCTCTCTTTTAATTTTGTTTTCTCATCGATTTTTCAAAAAAAAAAAAAAAGAAGAAACCCTTGCGGTGTTGATTGCAAGGATAACCTGACAAAGGTTTTCCTTTTTTCTTTTCCTTTTTTCACATTCATTTAACCTAAAACAAAAAAAAAAAATTTTTTTTTAATTGTAAATATTATTATTATTATTATTGTTTTATTGAGAGAGAAAAGAAGGGGGAGAAAGAGAGAGAGAGAGAGAAAGAAGGGAGAAAGAGAGAAAAACAATTTATATTTTCGGTGTTGAAAAAAAAAACAAATGTTCATTGGAAAAATATTTTTGATTTAATTTTCAAATGAAAACAATTGGTTGACTGTATAAAAATAATAATAATAATAATAATAATAAAAATCAACATAAGAAGCAGAAGAAGAAGCAATCGGGTTGTGAAAACACTTGAAATGGCACACAACCGACATTGAATGAATGAATGACTAACTCGATTTTTATAAAATAACTAAAACATTTTACAAAATGTTACTTTTCCTAACCCGGAAAATTCTATTTAATAATCTTTTCAACAACTCTTTGAAAAACCGAAGGTTGTGTATTTGGTTTCCCTTTTGACTTTAACCTTTTTTTTCTTTCCTTCAGCCTTTTTTTTTATTTGTGCTACAGGAAAACATTTAAAAGAGCACTTGAACACTAACAATTTTAGATTTTTTTTCTCTCTTTTCCTTTTGGCAAAATAATTTTTTTTTTTTTTTCGCCCGCCCTTATCCACTTGACATTTTCTTTTATGTTATTACTCTTCAAGATTTTCTTCTTCTACTTTTTCTCATATTTTCTTAATGCGATAAAGTAATTTTTGCGCGCGAGTAAAATAAATTTGAATTGGAAAAAAAAAGATCAATTTTTTTATGTTATTTTTTTAAGGGTGAAAAATATCTCGTAAGATTATTATTATTATTAACTGGTGTGTGTGTATGTGTGTGTGCTTTTCCGATGAAAAGAAGAGAACAAAGTGGTGATGGTTAATTGCGTGAAACAAGGGTGAATCAACCCCCGTTGGGAGTTGACCAAGATGAATAAATGTTTAGATTACACAATCTGCTTCGTTGATTTCGTTCAAAGGTTTTTTACGCACACACACACGCACACCCCCACACGCAAAATTTTATATAAATATATATATATATATATATATATATATATAATTTTTTAGTTTTTAAGTTTTTTTATATTTAACAGGTTTAAATAAAAAAAAAAATAATATCTTAAGTGCATATTACTCTACCACAATTCACATAAGATAAAAAAATTAGATACGAGGGTAACAAAAAAAAGAAAAAAAATGTATATACGAAGTTTTCCTAGTCCCGAAGACTACGTTTCTCATGAATAAAAAAAAAACACGTCGGAATAAACAAAAGTGGAAGAACAGAAAGAAAAAAAAAAAACAGAAAAAGAAAAAGATTACATAATTGAAACGTAAAATACAATCTTAAAAAAAAGACGAGTTGGCTCAAAGCTGTTATTAAATTTGAAAGCTCTCATCCCGGTTGTCGTAGCCAATCACGACTGAGGTCGTGTGCAAGGGAAAAAGAAAAGCTCGACGTACGACGCATCTCGAGGGATTTATATATATTTCTATGGAAAAAAAAAGAAAAGAAAAGAAAAATCACTGACGAAAGAGACAAGTTTTTCTTTATTATCGCGACAATAATGTCTCCAAACAATACGACCACCACCACCACCAACACATAGTCGACAAATTTAAAAAAACAAACAAATTATTATTATTATCTAAATAATTTAATGGCCGTTCTAAACATTTTATTAAATAAAAAGTTTTTTTTTTTAAAAAAAAAAAACGAATCACGATATTAAAATTCCAGTTAAAAAAAAAAAAATTAATATGATGATGACGTGAACGATGATGATGATGATCGTGTGTGTGTGTGTGTGTGACTCTTACCTGAATTAATTTTTAAAAACAAACCGGCGACATTTTTTTTTTTCCTTTGTTTATTTACTCTATGGTTTTTACTTTTTTTCCCTCTCCTTTTCCTGTTTGTTTGTTTACAAAATTACGCATCGAATCCCGTTATAAATTATTATTACTTTTTCTTTTTTTTCGAATTAGTGATTGATTCGAAAAAAAGTTCTTTTATTATTATTATTATTATTATTATTATTATTATTATAGAATTAAACGAATAAATTATTAATAAGGAAGGAGGAGGAGGAGGAGAAGTAGTTTTTTTTTATTATATAAAAGTATCGAACGGAAAAAAAGAAAAAAAAAAACGAAATCAAAACTATCTTATTCTGAAAAATAGTTCATTTAGATAAAACGAAAAATGATTCTGGAAAAAAGAAACGTGTTCAGAAAATAAAATGATTTCTCGTAAAAAAAAATCTCGACATTTTTCTCCCTTTTGCACGCCAACTGATGCTTTTTTTAAAAAACGATCCTTTTTTTTTTATTTTATTTTATTTTTATTTTTTCTTACCGTTTCGTCCATGATAGTTTTTTTATTAAAAAAAAAAAAAATCCCCATATTAAATATCTATTAAGTATGAGAAAATTCCAGACTGGATAAATTATAATTTTAACCTCAAACATATAAAACGATGAATTTTTTTTTTAATAATAATAATAATAATAATAGTAGTGATATTTTTGAACTGTTTCTTCTTTTTCTTAAAAAAAAAAAAAAAAAAAACAATTTCTTTTTATTATAAAAATGTTTCAAAAGTCATAAACCTGGATTTTTCCAAAAGTTTTCCTTTTTTTTTTTTTTTTTTTTTAATCCAGACACTTCAAAAAAAAAAAAAAAAGTAAGAAAAATGTCAAATCAGCTTTAACTTTTATGTCTCCTACGGGATAACCTACTTTGTTTTCATGGCATCGTCTCCTCCGGCCATCTTTTATTTGAAACCGAGATTTTTCTTGTGTTCTTACACTTTATTTTCAAAAACGTCAAAAAATAAAAAAAAATAACGACGGTTTATTTTTCATTTCATATCCAACATTCGTTCGTCATCATTTTTATTTTTATTTTTTTTTATTTTTTACACTCTGATTTTATTCCCTTTTGAAATATGACAATAATAATAATAATAATTTGATAATGTTAAATTTTTGTGTGCCTGTTACGTACGTACAAAGTGAAAAAAAAAAAAAAAAAACATAAAAATTACCCAAATCAAAATGGTGGACAAATATAATTTAATTATAAACGACGACACATGGCTTGCTCTAATCTAAACTTTTTCAAACAAAAAAAATCTTTTTCTTTCTTTTAGAAGAATCAAAATGGTGGTGGTGGTAGTAGTAGGAGGTAGAAGTAGTAATTGTTTTCTGTTTTTTTTTTTTTAAAAAACTCTTATGAATCATTATAGCAAACGAAAGAATAAAAATTAAAAAAAAAAAAAAAATAAGATAAATAGTTAAAAAAGGAGTGAGTGAAAGAGAGAGGGAAAGATAGAGGAGATAGAAAAGGATAGAAAATTGTATTATTATTATTATTACAAGGGTGGGTTATGAATGTTTAATAGTCTAAGTGGATTATGCAGGGAACTAATACTACTTAGTCATAGGGTGATATATATGTGTAACTTGATATTTATCATTCTTATAATTGGCTTAATAGCCGCACAGCAACAATAATAATCTTCCTTCTGATTACCCTGATTTCTGCGCGAATATTTTTCTTCATTCATTAATCATCATCATCATCATCATATTGTATGACAACTTTTAATAATTTTATATGACACCCACTTGGAACTCTCTCTTTCGCACACGTACACACGCACGCACACATTCAAACGTAAATTTTTTTTTTTTTTTTAGTCATTCATCATCGCGTGTGACCATAACAATTAATCATTATCGTCATTTCATTAATTAATAATAATAATAATAATAATAATTGAAAAGAATTTTTACTTGTAAAGAATATTTTTCCTTTTGGAATAAATTGAATTTTTTTAAAAACAATGAAACCGATTAAAAGGAAAAAATAAAAAAAGTAAATTTTCAATAAAGAGAGAAAGAGAGAGAGAGAGAGAAAGAAGGAGAAAGAGAAAGAGAGGTGCAGTGATTGGTTACGTCTTGGCTCCTCCCATTTCTCAACAAGTCACTTGGTTGTCATGGAAACGGAGAACGAATCCATTCAAAAACATTTACATCTATTTTTGTAACGACAGCTTCCCGGTGGATCCAGGAAATTAATTCTTCTCGCGTGAATTTTTCCCTTGGCCCCATGGGTCAACTCGTTTCCTTTCTGGATAAAAAAAATAGAAAAAAGGTTTTTTTTTTTTTTTAAGGTCGATGAGAGTCCCGGTAGAAGGAGAAGAAAAAAAGGGAAGGAAGGGTGGGAGGGAGGGTTAAAGAGGGAATATAATAGGGAGTTTTTTTTTTTTTTTTTTCATATCGGATCCTTCAATTTATTAATTTTTATTATTACGACGAGAGCGCCATTTTTGATTTTGACCGCTTTCTTTTTCTACGATTTATTTTCAACAACTTAAATAATTTTTTTTTTTTTCTCCTTTTTTTATTTTCAGGTGAAAAACCTCACAAATGTCAGGTTTGTGGAAAAGCATTTAGTCAATCGTCAAATCTCATAACTCATAGTCGTAAACATACAGGATTTAAACCTTTTGCGTGTGATTTATGCGGTCGTGCATTTCAAAGAAAAGTCGATTTAAGAAGACACAAAGAAACTCAACATGCCGAATTAAGGCCCGTACCTTAAATTAACAAACAAAATTCGTTCGGATATATATATATATGTACACACAGACACGCGCACGCACACACACACACATATATGTTACCGGTAATTAAATAAAATTTAAAAAAAAAAAAAAAACAAATGCAGAAAAAAAATTTTTTTTTTTTTTACCCCTGGTATAAATTTCATTAGCCTCCCCCTTTTTTTTTTTTTTTTTTTGATTTTCTAAATATAAATTTACGATTCCATTGCAATGAGATCATTACCCGGGTGAATCGTTTCTGGCAAAAAACAACCCCCTCCCCTCCTGTTTTATAAGGGATGGTTAATATTATATGTTATATATATATTTAATTTTATTTTCTATCGAATCGTAGAAAAAATTTTTTTTTTTTTTTTTAACGGATCAGGACCGTAAATAGAAATTTCCACAAAAATTTTTTTTTAAAGATATTTTTTGGCTTCCACCCCCCCCTCCCATACCCTTGCGACTAAATTATTTAAATAAATTGTTAATAACCAAAAAAAAAAGAAAAAAATTATTATTATTTTTATTTTATTAATTGTTATTATTATTATTATTATTATTGTCGTACGGCGATTGTTCGGTTGTATTAATCGTTATTATAATTTTTTATTTATTTATTTATTTAATAAAAAATAATAATAATAATAATAATAATTAAAAGAGTGCAATAGAATTATTTAAACAATTCAATAAGTGTTAATGATGATGATGATAAAACAATTTTTTTCTCTTATTATTATTATGTGAACCGTCGCAGTGCTCATATTATTATTATTATTATTATTATTTTTTCTCTCTAATATTATCATAATGCCTGTAATGTGTTATTTATTATTATTATTATTATTAAACATTATTATGTTATTGCTAAATTAAAAAAATTATTATTAAAAATTGCTTTTTCCATTTAAATAAATTTCCTATTAAAAAAAATATTTATTTATTTATTTATTTTATTTGTTTAAATTTTTTATTTTGATTCGCAGGAAACCTTAAAAAAAGGTATGATAATAATAATAATAATAAAATTAAAAGGTAAGAAAAGAAAGGGAGTTGAAATCGAAGAAAATGAAATCAAAAGTTTAAAATAAGAAATATTATTATTATTATCTTTATTATTTTCGATTCGATAAATCAATCAATCAATCAATCAATAGATGACGAAACAAAAAAATTTTTTTTTTTTTTTGTAATGAAGTAATTAAGAGATCGGGAAAATTTTTTTTTTTTTTTATTTCGGGATAATAATTTAAGTTTATTGTTATTAACATTTAGGGTCAATTTTTTAGTTCGTCTATCCGGGAGACACGCCCTTTATGACAACATTTTCCGACTCATTAACTCTTTAATTAACGTGAGAAAATTTTTCAAAAAAAAATCAAAATTTTCATTTTTTTCAAAAAAAATCCTAAATTTTTTAATTTATTTAATTGGGGCGGTTTTTTTTATTCATTTTTGAAAACCTGGAAAATTTTTCCTTTTTTTGTTGTTGTTAATTTTATTAATAAAGTTAAGAAAATGACGAAAAAGAAAAATTTTTTTTCCCCTTGTGAGAAAAAAAAAAAAAAAAAGAAAATTTTTCTAAAGATTTTTCGTGAGACATTCAAGTAATGAAGAATGTTCTAGAACGCATCACGTTTCCTCCTTCCTCCCCTCCTCTGCCTTCAGCCTCCCCCTCCCCGAAAAAAAAAAAAAAAAACTTTTTTCTCTTCGTTTTTGTTAAGTTTTTTCGATTTTTACAATTTCTTTCTCTCTCTCTCTCTCTCTTTCACTTTTCACATCTTCCATTAAAAAAAAATAATAATAATAATGATTATATTTTTAAAAAAAATGCACAAATAATAATAATAATAATAATAATAATATTAAAAACGAATTCAAAAAAAAAAAAAATTTTTTTTTAAATCTCTCGAGATTCATGCGAATAAATTCTCTTAGAATTATCGTAATAATAATAATGATAAAAAAGGCACATGCACGTGTGTACACGTATTGAATAACACATACGGAGACACACGAACGCACGCACGCACACGCACACACGCACTTGCATTAAGACGGAACATGTGACGTTCAGACTAAAATTTAATTATAAATTATTAAATAATTTTTTTTGATTTTTTTTTTTTATATCGTCGGCGGCGGCGGTGGTGGCGGCAGTGGCGACGTCATCATCGTCGGCCATATTTGATTTACTATTTTTTTGATTTTTTTTTTTCTTTAGTAACACGAATTATTTTCACGTTTGGTGAAAACAGGATTTATTTTTAAAAAAAAAAAATCCCTTTTTTTATTTTTTCCCGTTTTTCGGGATAAATTACATTCGGAGATACATAAGAGCAAATAAAGAACAAAAAAGAGAGAGAGAGAGAAAGAAGTACAAATAATGAGATCATAAAATAATATAATAATGGATGAACCACACCCATGACTGCATAATATTATTATTATTATTATTATTTTTTTTTTTTATTATTATTATGGCAACATTGATGGCAAATTATTATTAGGATTTCCCCGGCGAATCGTAAGCGAATAAAAAAAAAAAAAAGGAAATGTTAATTGTAATTATTATTAAGAAGGAAAATAAGGGGTGGCTGGCGAAGGAAGGGTTGAAACAAATATACCACCGACCGGTTTTTTTCGTGGTAGCGGTGGGGGTGGGGGGTGGTTCTCGATAATCGATTTTATTATTTGACCGGTCACGTCAGAGTTCATGTTTATTTACTTTTTTTTTTTTTAATTAATGATCCGAAAATTAAATAAAAAAAATTTTTTTTTTTTCAATGTTGGTATAAACGTTAAATTTTGATTTACCGTCTTCTGCTTGTTTTTTTTTCCGTTTTCCAAACGATGTCATATTTTACAATCGGTGAATTTATTCTCCTTTTTTTGTTTGTTTGTTTTGAACGTTTTACGACGTTTTTTTTTGCCTCCCCCCCTCCCCCGTTTAACACACAACCTTTCGAGATGATTTTTTCATTTATAATTTTTTATTATTATTATTACTATGGTGACGTCGTGTCTTAATTTAAATATTTTAATTGAAATAAAGAAAAAAAGGAAAAAAAAAAAAATTTGTGATGAATGTCTCATAATTTAAAAACCTTCTTCTTCATCTTTTTCTTCTTTTGTTGTTGATGGATTTCGTTCGAGAAAAACTTCGAGGACAAAAAGTAATAAATTTATCTTTGAAAAACGAAGTTTTCCAACTTTTTAAAATTTTTTTCCTCTTTTTTTTCCCTCTCTCTCTCTCTCTCTTTCTTTTTCTCTCTGTCGAAAGTCTTATTTCAATTTATGTAAAATAAAATAGGATTTTCTCAATCCATACGAAAATGATCTTTCAACTACCCTTTTTCTTATTTCGTTTTCTATTTTATTTTCCAACTTTTCTCTCCTTTTTCTTCTTTTCATCTTTAAAAACTTTTCATCATCATCATCATCATCATCTCCCCCCTCCCCCTTTCTTTTCTTTTTACCTTTTTTTTTTTTTTTTAACTTTTTGACAATTCTTTACTTTATTCTTTTTATTATTATTATTATAGCTAAAGTTATTTTCATGTTTTACTTAAATTACACGATTTCTGGTTTTTTTTTTCGTCGCGAATTTAAACTCCCCCTCTCTCTCTCTACCCCCTCCACGTTCCCGCTTCCTCCTCCTCCTCCTCTTTCCTCTCGGAATTTTTTTATTTTTTTTTCACTTTTCCCCAATTTTTTTTTTTTTGTTTCCCTATTTTTTCAATACGATACGGGAATAAAAAAAAGGGCCAAAATATCGTTTCGTAAAAATGAAAGAAAGAAAGAAATAATAATGATAATAATAATAATAATAATAATAATAATAATAATAATAATAATAATAATAATAATAAAAATATAATCGGATGCGAAATCCAAGATCGTTTATCTTTAAATTTCAAGTTGAAAGCAGTATAAGTATATTGTCAGGGTAAACTGTCGTAGGGTAAATATGAGATGGTGGTGGTGGTGAAGGAGGGGAGAGAGAGAAAACGGAAAAGGGCGTTAAAGGGAGGAGACGGGGGGGGGGAGATGGGGAACCCAAGTGATGAAATTAGTTCATCCCCTTTCCTCTTTTCCTAACTGAATTTCCTTCCTGTCGAGTTTCAAGTAACATTACTTTTCTCTCTCTCTCTCTCTCTCTCACTCATCTTTTTCATTAACTCAATCATTTGTGGCTTTTTTTTTTTTTTCATTTTTTGTACGTCTGCGATGTTGAACACACACACACACACACGCATTCGAAAGACGTCACGCAGTGCGTTTGGCCCATAAAAATCGATGAACGGTTTATGAAAATTAAAAAACAAAAAAAAAAAAAAATTCAATTATTTCACGTTTTTAATCAATAAAAAAAAATTTTTTTTTCTTTCCACCTCCCCTCTTCCCCTCCAACAAACAAACAAACAGAACTATTACTTCGTTTGTTTTTCCTTCCCCCCCCCTTACCTACCCAATCATATCTCATAATCATTTTTTTTTTATTGACTTTTCTAATAATTTACACACACACACACACACGAAAAAAAAAATCAAATAAATTTTTTTTTTTTTTTGTATCCCTATTAAATGTTATATTTAAATAATAATAATAATCAAATAAACGTCATCGATAGGGGCGGAAGGGGGGAGGGGAAGGGGGAAAACTTAAATAAATAAAAAGTAAAAAAAAAAAACTACAAACAAGAGGAAGAAGAAAGGTAAAATCGTTTGTCGCGTGTTGTTTAATTACATTTTTTTTTAATCTCAAGAGATTTAAAAAAAAAAAAAAAAAACGTCTTCATGGTTCCCATGAGTATCACACCATGTCGTCCGCCATATTTTTTTTTTTTTTCGTAACTCATCGATAATAAATATTTTCGGTCACGATATATATATATACAATCACATATTAAATATCTAAAATCATTCTTTTACGATGACGATAATAATAATTAATTCCTTTTTTCTTTTTTTTTTTAAATTAAATCGATGA